TAAAATATAGCTTGCCCTTTTCTTCTCTCACTTATCATTAGCATCACTTTAATCTCCTAGCGTTTCACACTGCTATTTTAATCATTACTTACTGCCTTTTGACAAGTGCAGAACATGCTTTTTCTCATTGAGGCAATATCCTGGTTTTAGCTGACAAATGTAGGACATAATGTAAAAATATCAAAGTGACATCTCTTAAACACACCTTCATCATAAAAATCTCTAAAGTTACAATATTCCTTTGTCTAACATTTCCATGAAAATTATCACTTGAAAGATTTATATCTTAAACAAAGGGGAAAAGTTTCTTCTTAAAACAACAAAAACTAGTTTACAAAAAATATTAAACTGTTTATGTGAGATCCAAAAATGTGTACGGAAGTATTGTTCTTTCTAAAACAGTCAAGAACTTCCAAGTATTTACAAAAGCAGTCTGTTGTTTTAAAATAACTTTAATAGTAACATATACAATATTGAAATGGCTACTCCATTTGATGCTTTGTAATCACATACATCTTAGGTTGAAGCAAAACAAAATACTCTCAGGATTATGCCTAATTCTATTATCTTAATAATACTCACCACTTCTCCACAGATCAATAAGTATTATATAATACTTGAGAGAAAATATACATGGAAATAATAGTTACAGCTATCGATATATTAATATATATCTTCTGAAAATCTATTGCAAGTGTTACAACTGAACTTGTTTCTACATTTTCTAAACTGTTATTTTAGTTAAAAATAAAAACCATATGATGTTTATTAATGTTCTTTTATCTCATGACATGTAGTTTAATTTATGCAATCTCATTAATCTATTCTGCCTAAATCTGAAGTGGATAACAAATTTAGCATAAATCTTTTGGGATTTAGGAATTTAAGTTTCATATTGTCTTTAGATATAAGTATTAGAAATAGGAATATAAATTGTAGCATCTTTATATTATTCCAGTTTGACTCCAAAGTAAACTAATGAAATGTTTGGTAATTAACCAAATCTGACTTTTAAAACCAAAGCACCAATTTTTGGTAATGATCACTCACACTTGGCCCCAAGCCCTTTAATCTAGTCCATCTGTAATGATCTCATAGTACTTTCAACCATTATTTAGCTGTTAGAAGAAAAAATATGTCTCACTATATGTTTCGACAATAAAATCCCTTCTTAAGCTTTACAAAGCAGAACAATTCATTATTTGATCTCTTTCCAGGTTCAAAGTCTGTCTTATTACAGCACTTCAAAGAAATATGTAATCAAAGACAAACAGCTGTGAAAACAATCTTTTATTACTTTATTATCATTGAGGACATATCTGTAGAGTAAACCAATGGAAATGGCATACAAATAATCTCTATTATGTTTGTTGTTTTGCATTTGTTCGCAAACTGTGCACATTTATCTTTAAAGTTTAATATTATTTCCTATAAATAAGAGTAATGGAACAGTCCAGTCACCCTATTGTCTGTCAAAAAAAGCAACACTCACACACACACACACACACACACACACACACACACACACACAAAAGTAAAAAAAAAAAAATGACAACAGCAAAGAGTGAGCTGCTTTAATGTCAAACAAGTGTTTTTAAAAAACAATTTTTCAAAATGATATTCAGTGATATGACTCTCTGGGTTAACATTACTCTCAAGTAAAATCATATTTTCTGATGCTTACATTAATCAGTGAGAATTTCAAAATTTTTCAAGTACGAATTAGTATACATAACTAAAAGTAATACATCAAATGTACCACTTGCCCTTTATTTTGAAAACAAACACAAAAGCAAGCAATTACTTTATAAGACAGTAGTTGCATTGCCCAGTTTATTCCCTTATGTTATGTACCACGCAATAATCTGGTCATGTCTTTACTTCTTAGAATGGAGGGTTTCTATCACTAACATGCAAATAGACTGGACCATGTAACCTAAAGTGTCCCTTGGATGGGAAGACTCCCTTCATCTGCAAGTGTCAGAGTGGAAGTGAGGATGTTCTGCTGCCCATTACAATACAGAACATGTGCAGGCAGAGGAAGCAAGCATCTTTTGAGGTCACACTATAGGATAGAAACCTTACCAGTCATGTCATTGTTCTGACACTGTCTCTCTGAGGAAGGCATCCCTGTCCACATTTTATAGATGTGGAGTATTAAAAAGCTGAAAACCTTTAACTCACTGCTGGGTTAACCTAATTCTAAAATCAACTTGCACTTTGTAGGAGACCCAGCGCCCTCCATTCTAGAGCAAACTTTCCAGGCACTGGTCCTCAGCTGCTCCTGAGGCAATGCATGCTAACAAACCCAGCTCTCCTTCAAAAGACTCTAAGGCATAAGAGGGGGCAAAATGGGTCACTACAACTCTCTACAAAATTAAATTGGTGATTCATCAACAGAGGCCACAATTAGAAAGAGCATTGTCTCTAGGTCTTTACAAACATATCCGCTAGGCCAAGAGAAGGAAGTGTGGAATCTATGCTGTTGCTCTCATTAAAAGATATGGCTGCCCTGGCCATTGTGGATCAGTTGGTTGGACATTGTCCCTGTGCGCCAGGAGGTTGCAAGTTCGATTAAGGTCTGAAGGGCATGTGCCTAGGTTGTGGGCCTGGTGGGGGTGTGCAGGAGGGAGCCCATGGATGTTCACTTTCACATGGATGTTTCTCTCTGTGTCCCACTCCCTTCCTTTCTCTTTAAAAAGAAAAAGTCAATAAACTGTTCTTTAAAAAAAAAAAGGATATGGCTGAAGGAAGCTGTAAATGGGCTACCTCACACTGACAAACTGAAAAAATGGACAGACAACAACCATAAGCATGGTGCTATGGCCATAGAGTCAAACCAGGTAATTAAGTCTAGGACATGAATTTTAAAAGATAATTGTATGTCCACTTCATTTTATGCTGTCTTAGTATAATCATGAAAGTTTTATTATATTTGTACTGATGTAAAAGCCTCTTTCTATAAACATAGATGGATAAGGACATGTACATACATACACATATTCATTTATACAAAAACACACATTTATTAGTTATGCTATAGTAAGTTATTTATGTAACATGGTCCTCAGTTGAAAAAGTGATTCTGAATTGAATATAATTATGCAGACATTTGTCTATTTTAATAAGGATACAGGATGGCCACTTAGAGAAAGGGAAAAAAAAGAAAGCAAGAATAAATAGTATATAGAGAGGATTTAATTAAAAATTTTGTTGCAGGTAAACTGAGCTAAAGTAATATTAGCATAAACATTATATTCTCTATTTTACATAACAATATAAAATACAAAATTTCTAGAGACTGTTCAGCCAAGTGAAGGAATAATATAGGAAATGAATTGCTTTCTTGAAACCCTGATACTTCATAGTACAAGTTGGTTTGGTTTTCCTGGTTACTAAATAAACAGTATCAGAATTGAAAATGCATTTAATGCATGACTCAATTTCCATAAAAGTTAATTTCCTGACTTTTCAGTTTGATTGCATCAGAAGTTATTCAGTAAAAGAGGGCAAAACAAAGCCAGTCACTCCTGCTTTGAAATAATTAAGCAGTAATTTGACCAAACATTTCCTTCCTTCCTGTGTATTTGTCAAAGTCACTATTGCACTTCAAATCTTAGCAGAAATATTTTTAATGGGCACAATCAATAAGGGAAATAAATAGCCCATAGTAAAATATTTCGCAATCAGTGTTGGCAACACCACTATAAGACCACTTTTTACTGCTATTTCTAGGATGTATTTGAGAAAAGCTTGTGGTTTTCGGGCTTTAGAATGATCTAATTACAGAAGTGAGAGTAACCATCACTAATTTTCACACACAAGCTCAATATATAATTCAGTTAATTAATATGGGACAAAAACCTGTGGAAAATTAACTAAATAAGACAGTGTTATAACTTTAAATGTTACTTTAATGCAGTTAACATATTGATTTTTAAAATCAGATTATTTAATGCTATTCCAGAAAAAAAAGAAATGTCAGTCTTTGAATTTCGAGGGCCCCAGATCATTTGTCTTTATTAAAAATCTATCCATCATTCACAAAATTATGTGAAACTATCATGTATAGACTTTGCCTTTTAACTATTTTGAGAGCAACTTTTTACCTATGATTTCATTATAGAATAAAATTAAAAAGTACATTCCAATTCCCCTTGCCCAGACTGAAAAACTGGTATTTATTCTGCCTCCCAATAAATCCTGCTATTGTTTTCACTTTGCAACTCAACTAACTTTTTTTTTTAGTTATTATCATTCACCTCTGCTAAATGACTTCTCATCTGACTTGACCTGTACATCTTGTTTTCCTTCATCACTCCCCATTCCCACTCCATCTCAGAAATCTCAAAGCCTTTTGACCTGTGATCCAAGCATCTGATATGGACCCTCAAAGCTCCCAAGCATTATTTTTCTATCTTAATGATCAACCAAAATTTTACTACAGATTTTCTCAGCCTCCCATAACTCTTGTTATCAGTCTCTTGACCCTCTGCTTACAACAATCATCCGATGGTTATTTTCAGGTACACTTCTGGAGGAAAGGTGAGCTCAGAGAGCATCTGTGTACACATTCTTCCAGGAGGCAGTGCCTTGTAGTGGAGAGAGCCAGACAGTCAGGACTTGTAGCCTGTCTCCGTCAAGCAGCTTTGTAACTTGAACAATGAGTCTCAGTTTCCTCAGAAATGAAATGGAAACAATGATATCTATTTCATCAGGATATTATGAAGATTAAATGGACATTTTCTAATTTTTCATGGTACAGTGTAGGTGCTAATCAAACTTAGTATCATTTCTCCTATGCTAGGAAATTGTGTGCCAAAAAGAAGTATTCTCAACTACAATATCCTAGTTCTTTAACAATCCACGTAAATCCATATAAAGGACAGCATCTATATATATCCATCATTTAAAACACAAACATTAATCCAAACATGTGGGTTGAGGTTACATTTTTCCTTTAATTGTTTTTTTGTTTGTTTTTTTATTTGGTTGGTTTTAATGTAGGCCACAGAATAGAAATGGGCTATATGTTTAGTGATATAACCCACTGTGGAGTGTGGTCTTTATTCTCCCAAAGAGCTTAAGTTGGTAAGGGGTTGTATTTTTTACTAGACAACCTATAGAAGACTTGCAGATCTCTGCCAGGTATTTAAAATTTTAAATATTTATGTATAATATTTGCCCTATATGACACATTGATTGTCAGTATATATGAATTATTAAATTAATTTATTATATAATAAAAATTTTAGAATGCAAAGGGTTCTTATGAATTAATTAGTTAATCCTCTTGGTTTACAAATGAGAACCCTTCATTCGAATAGATTGTTCAGCCAGTAACAGTCAGTAATAGAAGCCAAATTTTTGACAATGCATTTATTTTTCTATTTTTAATACTTTGATTTTTATATAACTCAAATGCAATATTAAAGATATATATTTTACTCATCTTTTCCTTTGACTATAGAGCAAATGATAGAGAAATCAACTCATTTGTTTTCAAATTTTCCCTCAGTGACTAATGAGAGCACTCACTAGTTCTTTAATTAACAGTCTATGGATTATAGTTCTATAATGTTGACCAAAAGTCTCCAATTTAAAAAAAAAGTTAAAGTTGAAAATTTTAGTAAAAATCCTAGCTTTCAAATGGCATAATTTGTTTTTTATAATAAAGTTTAATCATGATTAATATTTATTCTTATACTAAAAATTGGAATCTGCAACTTTTTCTCTATTATGTATGTATGCAAAAACCATCTCTCCCTTAAGATACACAGCAACATTTTCTGAGAACTGTTTATATTTATCAAGTCTATGTTTAGATTTTATTCTAAAATACATAATTTGGAAACAAAAAATTGCCTGATTATAATCCTTAAGATTATTATTCTAGGAGGAACACTGGTCTAACATGCCTTTTATTTGTTGGGTGATTACTAAAGGAAGGTAGATAGTATATACTGTATATATATATATATATATATATATATATATATATATATATATATATACAGTACGAACCACCAGGGGGCAGAGAGTTGACTGGTCGACCAGTTACTTGACATGCAATGACCACCAGGGGGGCAAAGCTCTGATTGGTAGGTTAGCTTTCTGCTGGGGTCTGGCTGATCAGGACTGAGAGAGACAGGCCAGACACACCCTTGAACAGTCCTGCATACCCTCTCTGGCTGGCCAACCTCCCACTTTCCAGCTCTGATCATACACCAGTGGGATCCCTTGGCCTGACCTGTATTCTCTTGTAACCCGGGACCCCTCGGGGGATGTTGGAGAGCCAGTTTTGGCCCGATCCCACAAGCCCGGGCGATGGACCCCACTGGTGCAGGAATTCATGCTCCAGGCCTCTAGTTTTTAATAATGTAGAATTGAAACTCTCACATGTCTTCCATATTTATCAGGTTATAATATAGGCCACAAATTTGAATGCCTCAAAGAACAGGCAGTGAACAACCAGATCTCATGGGAACTACAGTGAACCTGCACATAAATCTCACGGAGAGTTGACAAACACTGCTCACCTCTAATCAATTATTGCCATGTCAACACAGAGACCAATTTTCTAAGTTTCTTATATGTACCACTAGTACAACTCATGATTTTTATTTGAAATCTCCATTCTAAAATTGGCTTTTAATTCATATGGTTGAAAAAAATGTCTGGACTGAATATAGCAACCTCAGTTTACTATACTATAGCTTTTTTTTTTTTTTAGTTTTCTGACACAGAACACACCTTTGTTTTCTTTATTATGGATCTTTCTATATTTTTTAAATGTTGAATCGGATCAGATCACACCATGTTCAGAAAACTTCAATGGCACCACACTACTTACATGGTAAGCGCTGATTTCTCCATTAGACCTTAATTTCTCAATAAACTATGTCCCCAACATTTAAACTATCACTTCATCTTCAGTTTCTTAAATTTCAGGTGAAATGGACAAACTCCATTCCTTTCTTTAGAAATGGGATTTAAAATTTTTCTACAAACAAGAAAAAGATTAAATTTATTTGGTACCATATTATATATAAACAAAATCAAGACCTCTGCTCATATTTTCCTATCATAAAATAGACAGAGGTCCCCAAAATGTAAGATCAAAGAATTTAAACAGTAAGTCTTTGGAAGTTGAATTAATTTAAGAAACATCCACTGAGCTGCTATGGATCAGGTACTGTGTTAAGTAACCAGAATATATAGATTATAACAGATAATACCTGCTCTCCAGATATACAGCTTTTAGTAGAAATGGAATAAAAGAATAAATAGTTACAACAGATTATAAATGATGGGTCTGGAATTTAAATATTTTTCTATGGTATACCTAGAAATTAGAGAAGAGAGAGTTTTACAATAAAAGTATCACTGAAGCTGGCACTTGAAGAATGAAAAGAAGAAAATGTAAATGAAAGATAAAAATGTAATTTACATTATATCGAAGATTTTTCTTTCCTTTTGAGAGGCATTTAAGTGGAGACAAGATCATAATAACTCTACATAATGTATATTTGTATACTTGGCTCTTATACTGGAAGAAACAATATAGATTTTCCAAAGTAAAGTAATAAAACCCAAAGTTAAAATAAATATTAGCATTAAAGTTAAAACTTAAGGACAACAGTATAATGCATTTGAGTTTTTATCATAGCCTGCCCTTCATGTTATTTACTGAATGGCCTGATCTTTGCTACTTGTCTTTGAGGAAAAAGAAAGGAGAGAGGAGAGAGAGAGAAAGAGAGAGAAAAAGAGAGAGATTAGGGATAGCAGTGGGATTTTTTTGATGGATAGTTGAGTAGGAAGTAGAAGAATTCATGGTTGGAAACAGCATTGGATTGGTTCGTTGAGAAGAGAGTAAGGAAGAAAAAAGATGTTAGGAATTTGAGTATGAGAAGATAAGAAAGATGCTGAGAGGAAAATGTGAAGATACCTTTCTAGAGGTTGGAATTAGGGATCTTAGTTCTGACCACGCACTCCCATTAGTAATCACTGGGCCTTTCAGGCTTTGTGCAATGAGCTGAACCCGGTCAACAGAGTCTTTTCAACTTTATTGAAAAGCAGTGATCCAACACATGAAGTGAAAACATCTCCTTGATACAAGACTGCACAGAGCTTTAAGAACACATTAACATTATAAGACAGATATGATTGTCATTAAAAACAGCATCAGGAAGCCTATGTCTGGCTTTATTATCTTCAAATTGGTTAGTAATGTAAGGAGAACCTTCTAAAAACTAATTCAATACTTAATATACATTTGAACACTGGACACTTCTTTGGGTGAGTTTTAGGATGATGATTTTTAAGTGTTTACAGCAATCATATTTGTGTGTTAACAGGATTAAAAAAATCTTGAATGATTCACCAGCAGATGTCATAGAAAGACATATTTCCATGTTGTTTTTTTCCAAATTAGTGAAAAGTAAAATAATAGACAAAGATATACTAGGAGTTCTTAATAATTTTGAGGAGTATATATGTTTGAGGATTCAAGAGCTAATTGTTCCCTTTTTAATTTTGTGGTTTAAAATTCTCATATATATTTTGCAACTGTCAAAGTAAAACTATAGAATGAACTGAATTTTTAGATAATTCAAAAGACTCAGCATATTTTATGTTCCATGAATCCCATTATATATTTTTAGAAATACTTCTTAAAGTTTCTCCTTTTTCTATTTATCATCATCCTACTTATTTATTTCAGAAAAAGGAAAAGTTGTCAGTTAGGAGTTAGACATTGTTGAAATCTTAGAACAAATCTAGATAATTTAGCAAGTGGCTCTTCTACTTACCAGTACATTTTATTATGACAGAAATTCTCTGATGAAGGTTAGGGAGCCTGGTTATTTTTTTAAAATAGGTCAAGAAATGGATCAGAAAATCTACAGGGGATTTACCTCTGTTTCTAGTGCTTCATAATGACAAAACTTTCTTTGGCTAATGAGCATGTCTAGATGAATTTAAGTATATAGAGAAAAGGGTAGAAGAGAACAGTAGTCTTTTAAGAGAACTGATATAATTACAGCGATTGAATTCAAAAGATTGGAAATAGTTTGAGAGGAGTAAGAAATGACAGATAGGCCTCAGTTTGATTAACCCAAATATACTCTCTTTTCTTATGTGAGTGGATGTAGATCTCATGAACTTAGGGGAAAACAGGGCATTTTGTGTACCAAGTCAAACCTAAAATTATGAAATTCCTGACAACAAATCTTAGCATATTTGTTCTGTTTTTATTCCCATTTATATTTACCCATTTACCAATTTTCTATGCACTGACTTTCTGAAACAATGATGATTGAGTACCTATATGGAATAGACACTCTTTTGCCTACAAATTGAAATTCTAGTAGTCAAAAAACATTTCAAACAAAAGAAACTGGAATTCAGTACAAACATACTCTTTACACATAGTAAATTTTTTATTCAGTTACTTGACGTCACTATTACGAAGCCAACTATTGTGCTAATGAATAACTGCTTGAAACAAGGCAAGTGAGAATATAAGGGGGTTAAAGGAGAAAAATAAAAGAGAGAGAAAACAACTTATAAATGGAGAAGTTAACAAGGCAACTGGGCCTAACATACGAAGATTTAGGAGTAAGCAATAGGAATACTATTAGTCCTTGAAAAATAAAATACATGCTTGAGTAATCCATAACAGTTGGAATGACATGCCATAGGTTTTAAAAGCCACAGTTTATGTATATATAAATATAAAACATTTAAGACTCAGACAATAAACAATCATTGTTGTGAATGCAGATCAATAGAACTTCCACAGTTAAGATACTTCGAAATTTGAAAAATGTTAAGTAGATTGCTATTATTGCCTTGCATCCCATCAGGATGAAACTACAGAAAGTGGGAGTAGACATGGCAGCTATAGCGTCAAAGCCAGTTAAAATGAAGTGTACTTTGTCAGATGAGAAGAAAATTAAAATATTCATTTCAGATCTAATGATTCAAGTATATTGCTTGGATGCTCAAAAAGTCAAAATAGAAACTGAAAAGATCAATATGATTAGATCTGTAGAACTTAGCTGAAAATGGCATAGAAGTCAATAGTTAATACTA